ATGGTCATCCAATAGGCAATTAGATTTAGGTGCTGAAGTCGAAAAGCCACCTGATCCATATACGTGAATGTCGTCGTCTTTTTTTTGGGATTCTTCTTTTTTTGCCGAAAATTGATCGTGTATAAATAACAGATGGCATCCCATGGGTGATTATGGTAATTGTGATCCCATCTTCCCTTATTATCGTTGGTTTCGCCAGTCCATGGATGTCGGTAGGGAAAAGAATCCGATTGTCTTGTCTGATGTACATAAAAGAGCAAACATCAACATCCATGTATGAAAGAAAAACTAGATCTTTGAGACTTACCTACCTGTATGGCAGAAGATGCTGTTGGTAAATATCCTGTGACGTCTCGTTCCTCTTCGCCATCTTTTCGATGCATTTCCAGATCTAAAGTGAAGAGTGATTCAAGAAATTCCTTCTTGTTTTTCGTAATAAACAGTTAAAAAGTTACTTTGTCTTTCACTGACTGTCTTAAACGTGGAATTTTCGAAAGTAGATTTAGTATTATTATCACAAAATAAATCAATCTGTATCAATGATGAGAAAAAATCACGTGTACATTTTAGCCAATAAACGCTTTCCAATCCAAATTGATGACTGACGTTGTGCCGCAGTTTGAAAATTTTTCTTTAAGCTTTGTAACAGGTTAGATATTTTTTTTGCGAAAAAACTGGTTTCTTTCAACAAAAAAAAATATATTAGTATTGGAAAGTCCCTCGAGTTCACGATAAATAATATTACTGCGGAATATTAATTAAATTGAAGAAACGAGAGAGGGTTTCTAAAATCCTTATTTCAGGGTTCAGCATTGGGATAAGTAACTTCCCAACCTTACATATAGCGCCTCCAGTTTATGCCTTTTCACATGATTTTTTATATATACGTTAAGCATAAAAAAGCGTGAATATGTTATGTAATAAATAGTGTTGATCCGAGATCGCACAACAAGTTGTGCGATACACATAAGCCACTTTCGTGCATTTGCAATGAAGTGACCTTGCAATCTAATACCTAGTTTTCATTCCATAATTTGAGGACCCACGAAGACAGACAACACTCAGACAGCATACTATAAATTTCGGAGGGGCTTTATTAGGGTTAATGTTATTAACTGTTGATTTATTTTCTGACACTGCATATCTCGTATAGTATAACTAACAACACATTTTTTTTTATCCAGAATATTGATGATTGAAACAAATGGAACTGTCATGGACTTAATGTTAGGCATTAGTATAGAAACATTTCACTTTGTAAAACGAAATTACAGCATGTATCTCCGATTTGTATTATTTTTAGCTCAATGTAATGCAAATAAAAAAAAAGTTTAGGGTACTAAGCGACCCGAGCAATATAGTCAAATATAAATATATATTTTTTCTTGTGTGGGAGGTAATTGGTGTGATTCTTCTACTACCTCTGCTCCCGATATCGGTCATATGATCGCCGTCTCAACAAATGAATTAACTTTCCTATACCGCATGAAATTGTCAAGGTAATTAACCGCAGCATTTCTTGGGGAACATTTTGTGCAGCTCTACCTTCTCATGTAGTTATGAAATCATTTATTCATTATATTACATCACTCATTGTAGCTTCTATTCCACCACTTTCGGTAATGGTTGCGAACGTCGAGAATGCTACTCGAAGACTATTGGCAAGAAAATTTATTCAACTAGATTTGATGGTAAAGATTCAAATATCAAAAACCTTTTAGAATGAATGGGTGGATAGTAAATGTTAATAATA